AAATTTGAATCCGCGAAAAACGTCACCCCGCTGGACCCCCCAGCAGCCCTCGGAAGTGTCGGCAATCTCGCAGCTCGCAGCCCCCCCAGGAGAGATCTAATCGGAATCTGCGCCTGGTGCCCACTATGCTGCCCGCCCCCCCCACCCAGCAGCCTTCGAAAGTGTAGACAGATTCGCAAATCGCAGCCCCCCAGGGATGGCGAGGTCGCACAGGACGGCGAGGTAGAAGGCAGGCTGGCAGGCAGGTAGGAGGCACGAGAGCTAGGAAAGGGGCAGGAGGGAGAGAGGAGGAGGGAGGCGGGACGAAGGAGGAGGAGGAGGGAGAGGAGGAGGGAGGGAGGAGGAGGGAGGGAGGGAGGGAGGAGGGAGGTGGGAGGCACGAGAGCTAGGAAAGAGGCAGGAGGGAGAGAGCAGGAGGGAGGGAGGAGAAGGAAGGCGGGAGGAAGACGACGCGACGCCAGCGCCCTCTTCAGAACGAGAGCCCAACGCAGGAGGGCTGGGAACGAGAAGGAAGACAGGAGAGGGCTCGCAGGGAAGAACCAGGCCGAGAGGGTGAGGAATACAGTCGGGGCGTTGACCTAGGGAACCCCAACTAAGGAACGAGGCCCCTTTTTCCATAAGCTGAACTTCGATTTCCGATCGAAACCATAAGGGAAACCTGAGGCCAGCTGTGAAACACTCAAGGAACGCGGAGCCCCTGCCCAACGAAAAGGGTTCGTTCTTCAAGACCCCTACTGTAAGGCTGAGAAGAGCGAGAAGGAAAGAAAAGGAGGGAGAACGATGACAACGACGACGGGAGCAGAAATCGGAGACCAGGTGGGATAATGGGATAGGAAGCGAGGCCCACTTGAAACGTGAATAAAGCTGAGAAGAGCGAGTGGGAAAAAAAGGAGGAGAACGATGATAACGAAAACGGCGGCAAAAATCGAAGGCTGGGGTGGGCGAGACCAAAGTGAAACGTGAAGCGCCCCAACCCAGAGAAAGATCGCTCCGTTTCGTGACAGACGTGCGCGCGGCCGCGGCGAGGCTGCGCGAGAGATCCTGCACTTGGACGGGCCCGGGGCCGGGCCGACGTGCGCCGCTCCGTCCCCCGCCCATGTCCGGGCCGTCGCCCCGATGGCTGCCCCGATGGCGGCCCCGATGGCTGCCCCGATGGCTGTCCCGATTCGGGGATGGACAGAACCCCCTTTAGTAAAACGTGGTTTAGTGAAAACGACCTGAGGCCCAAACCTGGCGGGCGCAAGCCTGGAGAATAACGGCCACGGCGCCCTCTCGAGAACCGAAAACGGACAATTCACTAATCGACGTGTCACTCTTGGGGGTTCTGTCCACCCCCGACCGATGGTTGCGCCGATGGCTGCTCCGGATGCTTGTGCCGGCGGCTGTCCCGATGCTTTTGCCGGTGGCCGTCCCGCTGGTAGTGCCGATGGCTGTCCCGCGGGTTGTGCCGATGGCAGTCCCGATGAGTGTGCCGGTAGCTGTCCCGATGGTTGTCCCGATTGCTGTCCCGCTGGTTGTCCCAATGGCTGTCCCGATGACTGTCCTGATACGTATACAACGTGTTGACAGATAGGGTGTTAGTGAGATCGACAGATGGATAATGAGACTGGCAGATCGTGCGACGGATCAATGGATGGCTGGATGAGACGGTTGTCGCAATGGTTGTCCCGATGGTAGTCCTGAGAACCTGGATCGACAGACGGAACGATACCGAGGTCGACGAATAGATAGTGGGACCGATGGATCTGGAGGTGCCTGCGTCTGGAGATGCTGGGGTCTGTGGAGTCTGTCTTGGGGCTTTCGTGGAGGCGTCCTAGACCCTCGTGGAGCTTCTCCTGGGCCGTCTTGGAGCTCTCCTGGGCCGCACAGGGGCCCTCTTGGGTGCCTCTTGGGCCGCCTTGAGGGCGGTCCTGGAGGCTTATGGAGCCGCATTGGACCGTCTGGAGCGGGGACAAGCCAGACCGCGAGAATCAATGAGAAGCCTTAGGCAAATGAATGATGCTCGCCTCTCGGCACCCTCTCAGGGGTCTTTTCGAGGCTGTGTCGGAGCGTCGCAGGTGCTTCTGGAGGCATCTTGAGGCACAGTGGGCCCGTCTCTGAGTTGCCGGCAGCCCGCAGGTCGGTCTTGGGCCGGTCTGGCGGTCGTCGGCAGCCGTCCGGGAGCCCTCGGAGCCCCCCCTCAGGAGGCACAAAGCCCCCATGCGAACCGGTGACACCGATACGGGCCTGTCTCAGCCTACTCCGAGGTATCTCTCTATAGGTATGTATACACCTACATACATACATACATGCATGCGTGCATGCATGCATGCATACATGCATGCATACATACACGCATGCATGCATGCTTGCATACATACATACATCACCAATACATACGTACATACATATATACGGACAGGCAGACAGACATACATACATATATGCACACATATAAATATATATATATGCATATACAGATGCACATACATATATGTGTATATATATGCATGTATACACATATCCATGTGCATACATATATATAGGTGTATATATATATATATATATATATCAACTCCCCCAAAGAGTGCTTCCAATTAGGGACCCCCACTTCTCTTAGAAATCAGCTCGGCCCCGGTGCCGCCACGGCCGGCTTGCGGCCGCCCGTCGCTGCCAGTCGCAGCCGTCCGTTGCCGTCGTGACTAGGCCCTGGTGCCGCCCATGGCCGGCTTGTTGCCGCCTCCTCCTCCTCCTCCTCCTCGGCCTTTTGCCGACGTCCGTCGCCGCCGTCGCAACCCTTCGCCGCCGTCCGTCGCCGCCGCTTGCGCCGCGCTGCTTCGCAACGATTTGCACCGCTTTGCATCACCTTGCATCGCTTTGCGATGCTTTGCACTACTTTGTGTTGCTTTGACGTGCTTTGCATTTGTGAGAACTGATGTGTGCCGCGTTGCATACCTTCGTGTTGGTTTGCATTGCGCCGCCTTGCTTTACATTGCGTTCAATTCACGAGGTTCTTTACATTGCATTCCAATGCTTTCCGTTGCGTTGCACTGCCGTGTTTTCCGTTGCTTTCTATTGCTTTGCAATGCTTTGCACTGCTTTGCACTAAATTGCACTGCTTTGCATTGCTTTGCATCGCACTGCATTGCTTCGTATTGCTTTGCATCCCATTGCATTGTTTTGCATTGCTTTGCATTGCTTTGAGTTACTTTGCACTGCATTGCACTGCTTTGTATTGCGCTGCATCGGTTCGCATTGCTGTGCATTGCTGTACATTGCTGTGCATTGCTTTGCGCTGCATAGAGTGCACAACATGTATTGCGCCAGCTAGATTGCACCGCATACATTGCAAGAAATAAATGTGTGGGGTCCACGCGGGGGGTAAGACCAAGTGGAAACGTGAATTGCCCCAACTGGGAAACCGTTTCGTTTCGCGCGTGAGGTGCGTGCGGTCGAGGCGAAACTGCGCAAACTACTCGCATACGAAGGCCCAAATTAGACGAAGATGAGTCGCCGGCCGGTTGTCCGGCTGTCGTGACAACCTGACAGCAGATGGGTTCCTGAGGCCCGTGAGTGGGACAACCTTCAGAACATATGGGTTCCTAAAGCGCTTGAGCGGGACAATCGTCGAACACATGGGTTCCTCGGGCCCGTCAGTTGAGCAACCGTCAAGACAGATGGGTTCCTTTCGCCCGCGAGCTAAAACCATGTGTTTGTACATTGGCTCCTTTCGCTGGTAGCCTTCGCGACCCACAAACCGAATGGGTTCTTTCGTTCGCAAGCTGACTCCATGCATGTTTACATGGAGTTCCTCTCGACTGAAGGCATCGGGACCAACCAATCACATGGGTTCCTTTCGCCCGCGAGCTGAAGCCATGTGTTGCCTCGATGGTTGTCCCGATAGTTGTCACAATGATTGTCCCGATGGTTGTCACGATGGTTGTCCCGACACACGAGTAATGAGATCGATAGACACATTGATAGCGAGATCGCATGACATATCGTTCAATCGATAGATAGAAAGGCTGGTACATGTATGAATCGACTATTTTCCCCCAGCGAAGGCCGGCCGGGTTAATGTCACCGCATTCTCGTCCTACGTATTGGTAGCGTTATTAGCCGCACTCTGCGGCGGCTGGGTCCTTCCGAGCCTGCTCCCGCCCCTGAATTCGAAGAGTAAGAGCCTGCACAAAGAGGAGGAGGAGGAGGAGGAGGAGGAGGAGGAGGGATACCAGGAGTAGTTTTCCGATGGTTGTCCCATGCATGTTCCTATAGATGTCTAGTGAGATCGGCAGCCTGATTGGTAGTGGCACGAGTACATACACGGACGGATAGATGGTGGGCGTTTTTCGCTCCCGGGCTTCGACCGTTGGCCGGAGGGCGGGGGAGGGAGAGATCTGGGTCTGGGCCATGGCTTGGTCGATCTGGTGACACAGTCGGGGCGTTGACCTAAGGAACCCTAAATAAGGAACGAGGCCCCTTTTTTCCATAAGTTGAACTTCGATTTCCTTCTGAAAACCCAAGGAAAATCCGGGGCAAGCTGCGAAACAATTAAGGAGCGCGGAGCCCCTCCCCAACGAAAAGGGTTCCTTCTCCAGGGCCCCGACTGTACCAGTCGCGCGAGCAGACTGCGGGTGGATCCTGACCAGGTCGCCAGAGACCAGCCGCCAAAAGCAGCCGAGATCTGGTCTATTGGGGGGCCCGGGGTGGGGTCCTGCGCCTGTCGGCGAAAAAAAAGGCGGCATGGAACGGTTGCCCCGATGGTTGCCCCGTTGGTTGTCCCGATTTCTGCCCCGGTCAGTAGATCGTGAGATCCACCGAGATGCTGAAACACACGAAGAGCTAACTATATACATATTCATGTTACTATACACATCGAATTCATGTTACTATACACATCGATACAGAAACAACCAATGTTCACGTGCACTTGCGAAACCACTCGGAAGATTAGCGTGCGTCGAATGCAAATCAAAAACGATCCCCCCAAAATCTTCTTACAGATACACAAGACAAAGCGCCTCGGTGCCGATCTGCTCCGCCATCAGGGACTGCGTGGACGAGGCCTCGCTGGGCGGCTCGAAGAGCTGTTTTAGCTCCTTGTGCGAGAAAAAGCGGAGCTGCTGCTCTTGCTCGAGGTAGCTCTTCGACACCCCGCGTTTGAACACCTGTGGACGGAAGACGAGGGAGGAGAGAGGGTAGAGGGAGGGAGGGAGGGAGAGAGGGGAAGAGCAGCAGTGGGAGAAGGAGGAGGAGGAGGAGGAGCAGGGGGAGGAGGAGGGAGGAGGGAGGAGGAGGGAGGAGGGAGAAGGGAGGAGAAGCGAGGATCAATAAGGGAAGAGGCGGAGGAGGGAGATGGAGAAGGAGGCGAAGGAGGAGGAAAGCCAGGAGGGAAAGGGGGAGGAAGAAGACGAGGCGGAGGAGAAGGTGGAGGACGACGAGGGAAGCTGCGGTCATCCCCGCGGGGTCCCGCACCTGCAGCCGGAACATCTTGTCCTCGATGGCGCCGGCGGCGATGAGGCGGTAGATCACCACGTCCTGGGGTTTGGTCGGGCCTGTCCCCCTACAGGGGGATTTTGGGCGAGAGACTAAAAACCGCTATATCTATATATATATATATATATATATACGTATTGCAAAAATGTTCAAAACTAGTCAAAAAATCGTCCCCTGGCTACTTTTGGGCTATGTTTGAATATTCCCCCCTGTGCAGGGACGGGCACGGCGTAAGCCTAAGGGCTGCGTGCGCAGTGCGTGGCGGCCCAGGGCCAAGGCTCCAGCCCTCCAGGCGCCCTCCATCTCTCGCCCTCTTCCCCGTCGCCCTCCTCCGCTCTGCGTCCTTCCCTCTCCTCCTCCTCCTCCTCCTCTTCCTCCTCCTCCTCCTCCTCCTCTTCCTCCTCATCCTCCTCCTTCTCCTCCTCCCTCCCACCATCCCTCCCTCTTCCGCCCTCCCTCTTCCGCCCTGCGTTCCTCCCTCCACTCCCTCCTGCCCCCTATCCCTTCTCTCTCCCTCGCCGCCTGCCTGCGGGCCCTCCCTCGCTTCGCCTCCCTCTGCCCCTCCCCCCCTCCCTTCCTGACCTTCTCCCTCTGCTCCTCCTGCCTTTCCTGCGCCTGCGGCTCCCTACATCAACCTATCCCTGAGATCCGACGTAGCGAAAAAAATGCAACATCGG